ACTCAGTTCTAGGAATAGTTTCAAAATTTCCAATAAAAAATCCACCTCCAAATCCGACAAAAGTCACCAACTTACACAACAGATACCACTGAAACTTTTCTCTCCAATAATGATGGAAATGTTACTCTTTTTTTTTTTCATAGCAACTGCTGAAGATTATAAATTACTTGAGAAGATGAATCAAGTGACTATTCAAAAATACGGTGACATGAGAACGATTACGTCAAATATAGCAACGTCCATGCAGAACTTGAATGATAAATGTAATTAACGGGTTGAGGGATGAATCATAATTGTATTAGGGGGGGTGCAAGGAATGAATCATAATTGTATTGGGGGTGCAAGGGATGAATCATAATTGTATTGGGGATGCAAGGGATGAATCATAATTGTATTGGGGGGGTGCAAGCGATGAACCATAATTGTATTGAAGAGACAATAAGGATGAAGTGGGTGTTAAATGTAGCAAATCTATGCAGAACCTCAATGATAAATTGCAAGGGATGAATCATTATTTGGGGGGGGGGATAATAAGGCGGTGCAAATGTGATGAATCAGGTGACTATTCTGAAAATACAGTCATATGTTATGCGACATGGCATATATTTATACTAACACAATGCAGATACCTGGAGAATGAAATATTTTAGCTGTCTAGGTGTAGCATAAACGTTCACTGCATGTTGTGTCCAGTACGACTTAAAAAAACAAACATGTTTTTTATTGCAGTTAAAAGTTTACAGCCCTACTTGGACCAGATAGATCAAGTGGAAGAGAGTGTTGCAAATTTAGAGCAAGCTGCTTACAGACTGGATGCATATTCAAAAAGATTAGGCAAGTCTCATAGTTTGTACTCCACTGTCATATTTCATATACCATATATAATTTGGTTGGAGTTCATATATCATCGCAGTGTTTATATCACAGTTCATATACAACTTCAGTTATAAGATCATAGTTCTTATACCACTGCAGTCACTTACTATAATATAATGATTTTTCTTCTTGATTTTTCATTCCCAGAATTGAAATTTAAACAACTTGAGAAGAGGTAACTCCAGAAAGAAGAGTCTTGTTATGTATATTTCTTGCAATCTGTTTATTTAGACATTTACAATATTGTAGGTATTGTTCAGCTTACCAGTATGAATTGAAAGCACAGAACGGTCTTATCATTCTTTGCTTATTCATATACAGTGCACATTATTAATATTTTTTAATTTATTCAGAATTAATTAATTATACACTCGCTTTCAAGAAGGTTTGAGCATTTTTTTGGAAATTTATAAAAAAAATACCACAGAAGACCTTTGTTTGTTACATATAAATCCATAGAAGAAATTTTCATTTTGGAAAATCCCATTATCCTTCCTCATTGTCAATTTACAAAGACAACATCAAAGATTTAAAAAAAAAAATAATTAATTGATTGCAGATATTTTGAACACTATAGTTTGGTGAAAATTATTAAATTGTAAAACTTATTTTGATTACCGTAGTTTAAGGTTACTGATCACAGTAGGATTTAATATTTCTGGTGTACATCTACTGAGACATTACGATCAATTAGATTATCATTTCAAATTTATATTAAGTTCATACCTTCATGATCGTACAGTATTTGACTTTTGTATCCTTGCATCGAAGCATAGAAATTGTATTTTTTTCATTTCACTGACTTTTACAAAATTTAGTCCCTACAAATCACTTCACATAATCACATGTTGAATTGTTTTGATTTTAAAAAGGCTCGTGCAGTATTGAGTACGCAATGTATTTTACACATGAAGTACCGGTATATACGTTTGTGAAAAAAAGGCTTTATTTCCTTCTACATGTGTAGAAAGACTTGTCAAATTTTCTTTCATTAAGGTTATAATAAAGGAATATTCTGTTCCATTGAACACAACCTGAATCAACCATGGTCCTTGCCTACATTTTTTTGCACTTTTTTCTTATATTCTTCAATATTTCTGCAAATGAGCCAACAGACAAAAGTTGGGTCAAGTTTCAGTTTCTACTCATTTTTGTCCCAATTTTCTGAAGTAAAGTGCACTATTTTGTGAATTTGTGATGGAAAGATGGAACTGGTGGTGAAAAGATTAATGGTTTGCACTATGTGTTTATTGGTGGTGCCATGATTTTGAATTACATTTTTGTATTTATTATATCCCTCCCTGTAATATCCCTCGAGTGGAATTCCACCAGTGACCAGCTGTAAGCTCCCTCAAGTGAAACCTGCCATAACTTTTGCCTAGTAAAACCAGCAGTAGTTGAACAAGCAACCAGCAATAACATCCCTCTGGTAGAACCAGTAACCAGCGGTAACATCCCACTAGTGAAACTAGCAACCAGCGGTAACATCCCTCTGGTAAAATCAGTGACCAGCGGTAAAATCCCGACAACAAGCCATAACTTCTTACTAGGGTAGGGACCTAATATGTAAATCAGTTGATTAATATGCGCAGATTGTTTTCAACAACTATGTGCTATAAAGCATTATATCGGGTAGTTTTGATATATGCAAGGGAAATGTTGTAGTCTACATAAACTTGATAACACAGCTGAGCAGATAGAACTTTTGGTTCTTCACATCACATCACCTCCAAAAATAGCCGCAATGAATAGGAAAAAATGGCGTCAGCTAGTCAGGCAATGTGTTAAAGATAACATATTTTACATGTATATATAATATTCAAACATTCAATGCATTTTAAGTCATAAGCCCAGCAGAGGTCTCAACATGTAAATGCGGGAAAGTAAGGGGCGAGTGTATACCCAAGGACCATCTCAGAAAGGATTAACTTTTTTGTTACCACTCTCAAAAAATTATCCAAATTACATCTTTCGTTTACCATGCTAGGGGGAACATAACGTTTGTAGAAAAAAAAAAATTGCAAAATGAGTTTGGTTCTCATTGATTTCCACAACACTTTTACAATGAAGAAACAAACATGTTCACAAAAATATCCACATTTTATTTTAAAAACAATTAATAGTCGAGCAATTTAGCAGATTTAAGAGTAAAAATCAGTAAAAAAAAAAGCGAAACTAATAACCAGTGAATAATTAATGCACTTACAGTACTTTCAATGATACATAATTCACCACATGTGATGCATACAAGCCTTTCAAAATTATGTTACAGTAATTTAATGGAGTCTGTGTCAGGAGGTGTTGGTGTTTTAATGGTATTCTGTTTTCAGTCTGTGATTTATGTTTTAAGTCATTGAACAACTTGTATTCTTCTCATTGGATCCATGCCCAACACAGAGCACTTCATATATATTGTATTATATATCTGAATTATTGTCACTCGCCAGTTGTAGATGGTTGACCAGTTGTTTTTTGGGTTGGCAGTGAAATGAAAAGGAGGCGAAGGTCTAGAAGAAAGTAATTACAAACAAGCATATTTAAATAATTTCATGCTCAGTTTGATCAATGATTAGGCCAAAAAAAAAATGTTTTGTTGCCCTCAGCGACCGACTGAAAAGTGTGAAATATCGGGTCACATGTTTTTTTTCCATATACCTCGACTATTTACAATACCCTTAGTTTTCACAAGTTTAAAAAACAAAATCTGACCAAATTTTTCAATTTTCCGACTTGAGGGCAACATAAGTTGTTGTTTTTTTTGGCGTTAGAGAAAGAAATAATCGATACGTTTTTTTTTTTTTTTACCTTCAATATATTGACTAGTCGTATTACCATAGTGGGTTTTAGTCATTCTGGGTTCCAATGCATGTCTTTAATATGTCTTGAATTGATTTTATGTTTTAAAGAAATTTCTTAAATAAAATAATTTTTTTTTTCATTTCGGTCTTGAAAAGGTCTCTGATGTACACGAGTGGCAAATTCAAACAATGTTTACTTTAACATCTGCCAAAAATAACATGGTGTGTGAATTTGGTAACATGTAATTTTTTAACTAAAGAGTGAAATGTGTTTTGTAACAAATTTTCAGATTGGCTATACTGGTGTCAGCAAATGTCTGTAATTATCAAAAAGCCCTAGCCTTCAAGAGGTTTAAAACTTGTATTCAAAATTTACCCTTGTACGTTAAATTGTGTTTACTTGTCTCCATTGTCTTAAGACATGCTGAAGACTGCTTCCATGGAAAGCCAAAATGAATGAAGAAAAACAGGCATCAACAATAGTATGTATGGTTTTTCTCATTCCTTCAGGAAACCCGTCAGTAAAATGATTTTAAACGGAAAGTGTGAAACCTGGAAACAAAAACACGAAAGGCTTCACATTTGTTTTATTTCTCATCAATTTGAAGTAAAGGTACTGTGAAATACTTTATTTTAGCTGGAATTAATTTTTGCTGAAAAAGGCTTTTTGGGTGTTTTGTTTGGATTTTATTTTCACTGATTTTTAACGAGTTAAAATATTGGGAAAAAAGAATATTCACTTGATTTTATTTTCACTGAATTATTTCTTCAGCGAAAATTAATTCCAAGCAAAAATAAAGTATTTTACAGTACCGGTATGTGGTCATTTAACTTGCAAGTTAGGCTGAATTGCTATAGATAAAATACTTTATGGATTGGGGTAAAAAAAAAAAAATTCCCTATGAAAAACCTTGTGAGCATGTGACTGGGAAACTAATACGAATGGATACACCGAGAAAATAAAAAAAAAAGGATTGTGTTCAACTATTTTGGTAGGGCTGCTAGCCGCTGCCTATTCACGGGCGCGATCCCACTACTGCTCCACACGGGAACTTTTGCCTGCTGTGTTTCCACCCTGGGCCGATACGTCCCTCATTATACAACCTGGTCGTCCTAACCTCCGTCGGGCCGACCATATTGATGCCGAGCTTAGCGTGGACGCCTGATCTCCATAGAGCGACGACTAACAGGACTCCCAACCTCAAACCGTCCAACAATCCCGGCCTCCAAGTAACTGGATTACAGGCGCACGCCACAACGCCCAGCCATTTGCAGCTGCCATTTTTACGTTATTTATGGAATAATTACGTATGCCGGAAGACAGCGCCATCTATGTTGCTACCTGCCGAATTTAGATCGGCACTTTTAATTTTTTTATAGCCTACAATTTTGCAACCGAAAAGTATAATCTTTATAATGCAATTTAATTAACCCCAGACCATTAAAATAACTTTTAGTGATCTGAGAGCAAATTGCTTCTTTGGGACGAAAAATGAACATACGTCACACTTCTGTAGCTACAAAGTATTAAAAGGTCATCAAGGAGATTTGACCTTTGATTTACACACCTGATGTCATTGTTTACTAATGATAAAAATAGATATATATATATATTTTTTTTTAAACGCAAGTCTACCTTTTCTACTTTGCACCCCCCCCCCTGACAGTCTAAATATACTCAGTAAGAAATGTAAGCTTATTTATGTTGAATAAATTAAGTTCACACACACTCAACGAAAATATTTTATTTTTGCCCTTACACTATATCTGTATCTACGTTGATAGATATAAACGAAGCATTCTTATTTTAGATATATATATCTAATAGATATACCCGGAAAGTTCGTTGGCCTTGATTAGGTGACCCTGGCCACACTGAAAGGGTAAATAAATTATCCAATCAGCGGGCGTCTTTTATAGCTAGCAGTAGAAATGGTCAATGCGCGATATGTTAGAAAGCATCCTATTGCGCAGTCTAAAGTGACGTCGGTGTAGTTTGTGCTCTTTTTCTTTGGCATCAGTGTCTGCAGTTTTTCCTTTATTTTGGATGATTTTTTGAAAATTTCCAGCTTTCAAATGTGAGTATGAATCCTTACGTATAAGTCAACCATGAATTCAACCGTCATCTGTGCTTTGAGGCACGGAAACCGTGAACTCTTTCGCTCATTGCTGTGTTGTGTATTTATTTATAATTTCAAACACTGATCAAGCCGCTCGCAGTCTGCCAGTCTAGGTTTGACACTTTTTCACGCCCGTTCAATGTATATTTCCGATAAGTAACATAATTGTATCGAGAACAATCGCAATTGAGACAAAATTGGTTGAGTTTAGATAACATCCGTCTTTTTATTAGAGTTCTTCAAGTACGTGACGTGATGTCCGACATCGATGGCTGGACTGCATGATTTAAAAATGGCGATCATTCAATGATTGTGGTGATAAATATTTCGATGAAGTCGTTTTGAATTCTGACATTATTATTGTCTATGAAAAATTCTTGAAAATGCAACTGTGGTGTTGACATCACGGGTTTTAGTGTGTATGATTTTATTTTTATCTAATTCAAGACATTACCACGTTATGTCCCAGGTGTTATGAAAATATTCACCACTAAACAATTAAGAATTGCATGGCAATTTGCTCGATATTTAATTCAGAAACATAAAATAATTCTAATGAATAGTATTTTTTTTCATTATTTTGACTTAATTTGTCTGTTATTTCCATGTTTTGTATGTAAATGTCTCAGAGTTTGTCACAAAAATGATGTGACATTACAATTATGTCAATTTATGCAAAACTAAAACAGTTCCCTATCAAAGCTTACACTATTGAAAGAGTCTGTGTCATTTACAGTACTCATTCTTTCATATGTAAATTGTGTATGTTTGTATATTTATTTAAAATTTTACCAACTAACAACTTTTTCTAAAGTGGCCTTGGATAGTATTTTCAGTGCAGTTGGCCCCACACCTTCACTAATCCTCAGTAAAAAAAAAGTCTGAGTGTAAACAAGATTGAAAATAACTTACTGGATTCTCTAAGACAAGCCTATGTCACAAACTGGTCAAAATCCCCCAAACATTGCCAGCAACCAATCACAGACTAGCTTAAACAATAGCTTTCCCTGACGATAATACTTAGCAACGTTATTTCCCCCACGCTAACTTGAAAAATCTTTTGTTTTTGTCTCGTTTCCGTTTCCAGTCTGTCTTAGAGAATAGGTACATCTCGCCAGATCATCAAAGGGTGCAGACAAAATCTCAGCACAAAATGATCCTGGCAGATGTGTATTAGGTGTTTTGATTTAGTATTTTTTATATGATTGTACGATCAGCATGTTGCAATACAACAGGCAACACAAGGAACATGAATCTAAATTGTCAGCTACAAAGAGTATACTTCATAAATAATATACTGTAAAATACTTAATTTTCGCTTGGAATTAATTATCGCTATTTACGCTGAAGGAATGATTCAGTGAAAATAAAATCCAGTGAATATACCTTTTTTTCCTATATTTTACATTCAACTCGTCAAAAATCAGTGAAAATAAATTCCATACAAAACACCCGAAAAGTCTTTTAAGCGAAAATTAATTCCAGTTGAAATAAAGTATTTCACAGCAGTTGAGCAACTTACGTGATTCAATGATAAAATATATGGAATATGATAGGCTAAATTTTTATCTCCGTTCAGATTAGACAAAATTGTCTCCATGCAATGCGCTGTCTGTTAAAAAAAAAAAAAAAAAAAAAAAAACTACCAGGATTGTGTTCACCATGAATTTGTCTACAGAATTTTGTCCACAGCATGAAGGACTTCAAGCACAACCAAAACTGTTGCGGCGCCTGATTTCATTTGTTTTTTTACACTTTCGTTTATGAAATGTGAATTAAATTACAAATTAGTAATGTGTTTTTCAGATTGTAGGAAAAAAAGTCGGAGAAAAAAAAGACGCAGAAAAAAAGTTGTGGTAAATAAGTCACAGAATAAAAGACAGGAAATATCACACATGTGTCTTTACAGATATCTAGATTTTGATTACATAAGCTTGATAGATACATGGATGTAAATAAATTGACTGTAAAAGGATTTATTATTCACTGGGTTTTAATTTTGCTTATTCCACTGACTGGAAAATGCTCTAAATTAAAACCCAGTGAATATGTAAAATTTCGCATAGAATACATTATCTAAATGATTAACCGTGAATTTAAAATCCACTGAATATGCCTGAAATGGTAAATCAGCGAAATTTAAACCCAATGAAAATTAGTCATTTTACAGTATCCCAAATTTTTCATATATTTTTGTAACAGTACGAATGTACCACACTTCAGTAGTATCTGAAACTATAGATGCGATTCTCATCAATTCCAAAACAAAACATGCAACATAAACGAATCTAACGCACAGGAAATGTCACAACATGGGGTTTGTCCCACCCAGTAATACTTCTTGCAAAATACTAGTGTGTGACTTTTTTCCATGACTTTTTAATGTGTCTTTTTTTTTTTACTTTTTACAGTGCACTGTTTTGCAATTACCATATCAATGTATGATTTTCTATTCGGTCGTAGAATTGACAGAAATCAGGCTAAAAAAAATCTTGACATCAGTGATGCATCATATTACTAGTGTAAGCTTGAAGGTACACTGTATATGTCTCCAGCAACAAATACATTGCCTGTAAAATACATCATTCCTTTACTTTAAGTATGTGAATTTTGAACATGCACATAACTAATGTGACACATTGTCTTCAATAGCAAATGTAGCTTTCATTAGATGGCATCTTTCATTATTCCAGTTGTAAAACTGGTTTCATTATTCCAGTTGTAAAACTGGTTTCATTATTCCAGTTGTAAAACTGGTTTCATTATTCCAGTTGTAAAACTGGTTTCATTATTCCAGTAGTAAAACTGGTTTCATTATTCCAGTTGTAAAACTGGTTTCATTATTCCAGTTGTAAAACTGGTTTCATTATTCCAGTTGTAAAACTGGTTTCATTATTCCAGTTGTAAAACTGGTTTCATTATTCCAGTTGTAAAACTGGTTTCATTATTCCAGTTGTAAAACTGGTTTCATTATTCCAGTTGTAAAACTGGTGATAAGGACAAGAGAAAAAGATAAAGGAGAGACCATCTACAACAATTCTACACATTCACATTTTTTACAACCAAAATTTTTTTTTTTTTTTTTTGTAGTTTTATTTTACCATCGATTGTTGATTGGATTCAACATGAGCGCTATTGCAAGTAGACATCGTCAACTGTTGGATGACGTGAAGCGTAACATCGCTGTCTTGGAAGACTCAATAAGTCATATTGTAGATACTAAAAGAAATCTCAAGACCAGTGCGTTGGAGGTTTGTGCTTCTTTTTTTCCTTTCCTGTAACATGTAATAGTAGTTGAAAGAATTCTATTCATGTTGTAATTATTGTAGTCGCGGTTACCAAACTTGTCTGCTTGTGATTCCATTTACTCTTAAAAAGTGCTGAATCAAAATTTGACGTTATACATGTATTCATCTCTACAACATTTCACCCAATTTTGATTTTCAAAAATATGACACAAATATCGATGTACACTGTAAAGCAATTGTTAGAGCCTGCTGTACTTTGGGTGATACATATGAGTATCTATGCTGTGGTGTAATAGTTTTGCAAATGACCTTGATTTCTTTACAAAAATTGCTCTGCTAAACTTGAGTAAACAACCTTCGTTATTAAAATTAATCTAAATTTGTTAACCTTCAAGCATGTTTCGTTGAATGTTAAAATAATTACCCCTTTCACAAGCTTATGTCAAAAAATTAAACCTTCAACAACATATAAGCCAATTATTTTGTTGGGCATGATCACTGTCTGAATTTACACTTTCTGATTAAAGTTAATTGGTTAATAAACCTATGCAATATCGCACTGGACAAATACTAATGGAGTAAATGACTGTAATTTCTTCAGGTCAAAGGTCAAATCCATAGCTGCATTAGTCGTCAGCTGGAGGCATTAAGAAATCGAGAGGTGTGGTTATTAAACCAGGTTGAGACAATACAGCATGCCAAGGAAGATGCATTGCGCTTACAGCTAGGAAAGTTGAACCAAACTTTGGGATCATTCAAGAATTGTGCAGCGTATACAAAATTATACTTGGATGGCCTAAGTGATGAAGTGGATCCAAAAGTGATTGAAACTCAACTTATGGAAAACCTGAATAGGTAAGAATGCTACTTGTTGGGTGGAGGTGTAAGTTTGGGAAGGTTGAAGGGGGTTTGTAAAATGCAAGTGTTTACATAGGATGAAGGATGGACTAGATTTTTGGTTGAGTCAAAACATATATAGTTTTATAAGTGAAAACAAAAAGTCAACAAGCACAGTGCTCTCTGATTGGTCTAACTATAAGGTCTTAAAGTTAAGCAGCCAGTCAATCTTTTAAGGAGCTTCGCATTGATTTTTTGTGCCACCCTTCCGCCCTCCCACCCACCCTTCCTTCCTCTCTCTTTACCTCTATATTTAAATCTCCAAACAGTTGTCATTTCTTCATTCACCCTAAAACAATATTGTATATTTCTGTACATCACAGCTTAGCGCATCTGAAGCTGACACCGAAAGAGAATGCCAGTATCTGCTTCCGAGCTAATCGAGGCAAGCTAAGGGAGATGATACACGACTTTGGTCGAGTAGATAGTCGCAGTATTAGCGTCAATCAAGAGCGAGCATTCACCGATCCGACCTTTCCCAGTACAAGTCTTCCATCTCCATTTGAAGATTATGAAGATCTGGATCACCATGTCTTGTATAAAACGCTAGCTGAATTGAAAGAGCAGAAACAGAAGGTAAACTCACTCTGTTACTCGAATGATACTAGCTGTAATGATATTGACTGAAAGTTTATTTTTAAAGATATCCATATAAGGGTAATATTACTGCCAATTATAGTCATCAATTATAACTGTTGGTGACTAACTGTAAATGCGAAGTCCATTGATGCCCTTAGACGTTATGCCTTATTTTATGTTGGTCATGTGATATCAGTTATTTAGAGGTCAGATTGATATATATGACTGTACTATTAACTCACCTTTGGTTCATGATTACCCTGGTAATACGAGCCCCTGATGCATGATGTCACTCCTAGCAACTAGGAAAGTGGTTTTGGATGATAACTTCATGAAGTCAGTGGCCCAAAATAGTCTGCATTATCTGTGTTGTGTTTTTAATGTTTTTCATTTTCCTGTTAAACTGTAAACTTCAGGTCTGTTAAAAAACAAACAAAAAAATAATGATTTTCTTTTTTTGATCAATTTAGGTTACTTTTCCAGAAGTATCTGAAGAACACGACGACTGGTTGATCAAAGTGCCGACAAACACCCCTGCTGAGACCATTCCTAGTATTGTATTCCCGACCTTCAAAGATGCTACTCCGACCACATCATCAGTTGGAATGACGGCCAAGAAGAAAACTGATGAGGTTGAGAAGTGGCTGCATCATGTTCCAACTGGTTACCATGGCACCCCTTCAACAATGGAAGACGATTTTAGCATCATGGATCAGAGTAGGAGCGTCAGTGACATTATCTCAGCCAGCGTCATCGAAGACAAAGACGAAACTTTCTTCGATATGTCTCCGTACTTCAAGTACATATCTAATTCGCCAAATGATGAATGGTTATTGAATTCTGATAGAATTAAAGCAACATACAACTATGGCAAGGACTATCCCTATGCAACTATGAAATACTTCAGGTATGTATAAAAACATTAAGACCCAGAATTACAATATTTTTGTTTTTACTCATTGAATGTGCTTTCTTTTTTAGGTTTTTGTCAGGCATTTAGAATATTAAATAAGTCGTGTCTTTCCCACATCGATTTCAAAATGAATTGTCCAGAAACTTTCTTTGGGTGGCGATTACTGTAAATGTATTTATAATATCGCATGAGAAAAGAACAACATTTTGTACTGAACATAGTGAATATCTGTATTTAACTTGGGGTTATTCTTTAGTGACTTTTGTGAAATGTTGTCACCACAAATCTTCAGAAAATATCAAATCACAAGCATTTTGGGGCATAACCAATTTCCAGTTGATAGTAGAGCACTTTATTTTTACTTGGAATTTGTTTTCGCTGGAGGGATATTGATCAGTAAAAATAAAACCCAGTGAAAATACTTTTTTTCTATATTTTACATTCAACTCCTCAAATTAGTGAAAAAACAAAACGGCCACAATGTCTTTTCATTGTGTGGTTTATAGTATTAAATTTTATGATGGCTGTGTTTTCATTTATATATAGATTTATGAAGCATCATATTATATCTATTATTTTTATTTAATGAATATGACGGCAGGTAACAGATCACCAAGTTGTCTGTCCAGTGATGGATCAATTTTTCAATGAGAATATTACAGTAAACTGCTTAAATTCCATGACAGATGTTTTCTTGAGTCAGTGTGAATCGCAGAATTTTGTAGCAGTGAAGATTTCCCTGCTGTCCTGCAACAAAATGTACATGACCTTGCAAAATGTTAATGCTGTAAAACCATCAAATCATTAAAATTTTACAGAATATTGGTTTGTGCATTGCCTGATGCATCTTGAAATAGAAATATTGTTTGTTTTTTATTTATTAAAACAGTTGTATTCGTTTTTTGCAGAGAGATCTCAAAGGACACCAAAGACTGGTTGATGGAGTATGAAGCCCAGAAGGACGACTCAATAAGATGTGAGAAAATGAACTGTGAAAGTGGCGAACATTGTGCAGCTCTGAATCAAACTAAACAGGTACAAAAAATAATTACATTGTTTACATGATCTCATTAAATATGCAAGCAAGACTAAAAATAGGCCGAGATATGCTATCCTATCTATGCTCACAAAGTGCAACTCTCTGGATACTTTACTTCGCTGACAAAAGACAGACATTTTGCTCCCTACTGTATCTATTTTCCCAGACATTTAATTTCAGTATTTCAATATTTTATGGATATTCACTCGGTTTTAAGTTTGAGAATTTGGCAGGGACGCATTGAGTTGTATTGTTTACTAATTTAGCAGAATTTACTTGTCAGAGAGAAAAAATGAAATTAGAACCCAGTGAATAATTAATGCATTTACAATATACCTTTCTCTACAATGAAGTCGTATATTATGGATGATTTGCTCATTTGCCATTGTTTTAAGTACATGTATAATAATTAATCAATTTGATTAAATTTGATTTGATACCATTGATATGGATACGTATCAATGATCCAATTATGTAATTGTGTCAATTACAGAATAAACTTGTCCCTCTCGAGAAAACAACAGTTTGAAATTATAGTTGCAAGTCATGACAAAAATAGACACCAACGGTCATACATTTCAAAACTGATGAAAACGTAATAAGTGCCCTGATTTTACAACATCATGGAAGAAAACTCCATACCGTTCAATATCATGGTCATTTGAAACATTGCAAAATTAAGATGGATGTACCATGAATTTGTAATTCAGTACTTTTGTAAAAGGTGGTATCCAATAATTGTGTTTGATTATTGGTTCAACAGATGCAGTGTGTACATTGTTTGTTCACCCTTTAAATTGTAAATTGTCAAGAATTTGTTTAACTTTCGATTATTATGTGCATCATTCCTGCTTAAAGGGGAAGTCCAGACAAACAACATAATGCTCCAAGATGAAAAAGCTCCACAAATGCGGAGAATGCAATTTACAGTTTTTTCTTATACAAGTTTTCATCCAATAGATATTCCACATATTTTATTCAGAATTATATTATTTAATTTATTTGTTTTAGGACATTGAGAGTCTAGGGAATATTTCCTGTATCAGCCAAGTAATGGGAAGATACTTCAAAGAAATACCCTCCGATCCCAAGATGTGGCTGGCCGACCAGCTAGAAAACAGTTGTGTAGCTAACGAGAAATGTGACCACCCCTCCCAGTGTGTCAGTGACACTCATTGTTTAGGTACTGAGTTCAACCAATCAGACACTAGCTACAATCCTATTTTAGACTGGTATAAAACTGCATCTAATGAGGTTTCTGATTGGTTGTTGCCAAATAGTAATGCAGCTATGCATGACACTGCAAATTCTCCAATTTTGGAGTATTTTCGGATGATATCAGCTAGCGACATTTCTGATTGGTTGCATGTGCCTAGTGTCTCCTCGACTAATCAGCTTAACCTGATCAAGTCACCTTTTGAAGAGTATTTACAATCTGTTCCGCAGAATATTAGTTTTTGGTTGTCTGAGTGCCACAGAAAAAATTCTAAAAGTGGACCAGCATCTTTTAAATTTGATTGGGACAGCTTTCATTCAGATTGCAATCAGTGGGTGAAGCCTTCCTTAATTCAAGGTGTGACCACCCAAGCTGCTTCAAATAAAAAAGAAAATGATGTATTATGGGAAAAGCTGGGAGCGTTCCATCGTGAAATGAACCAATCTGATTGGTTGCTAGAGCAGGATGATGAGAAAATGGACAAGTGTGTTGAGTTTGTAGATTCTGATTTTTCAGAAACATTTCCCCCAGGTGATTGTGATCTAAACAAATGGCTTTTAATCGACCCCACAATGGAGATAGCAGAGGAATGCGAAACATTGAGCATTTGTGGTAGAACTGTGGAAATTGATATGCCACCACAGTCGCAGAATACGTTTCCTTGTTTTAATCAAGAAATCAAGTCTCACATGTGGCTTTTAAACTATACAAAGTAAAAATATAGTTTTACTAACATTTGCCAAACATTTTGTATTCGTTCTTTCACACAGGCATTCACCCGAGTGTAGAAAAAAAATACCATATGCTTTGCAAAGTTTAAGTTTTGAGACTATCGTAATGTTGCATTGGCTTAATTTCTTCTTTGCTGCAACTTTGCTAATTTTCAATTGTAATTGTAATTTTCAACTAGATCTTTGCAGTACTGCGTAACATACTGCTATTGGGTATATTTTTTACTGCAGTTACTGTCCCTTTAAAGTTTATCAAACGGAGTATTGTACGCTATACTAAATACTAAGCTAATCCATGAGAGCTGTCAATAGTTATATCCAAATTATTTACAGGGACATCACGTTTTTGAAATCTGAACATTACTTGGATTTGTTGTTCTCATATAACATGTATTATGCAGACTTGTCACTGCTGTAAACTGTACAACTCTTTGAGCACCAAAGTGAACTTTTTTTTGAAAATTGTTATCAATATCTGTAGCCATAGAAAATTATTTCTATCTGGTCAAACATTATCCAAAAAAATGTATAGATAAATGCATGAAAAAAACGAGCAAAATTTTGCAACAAAAATTTGGTTGGAAAATTATGGTGCTCAATAAGTTAATTTTTGTCAAATCAATAAAGATGATTTGATAGTTTGAGGGCATTTGTCAGGATGGGATTTCATGAAAGTCACTGTGACTCCCTAGGACCCTAGTGAAAGCCACCGACTCCCTAGGACCCCAGTGAAAGTCACCGACTCCCCTAGAACCATTGTGACTCTATATTATCTAAGTGAAAGTCACTGCCTTAAAAATCCCAAATTAAATGTTCACTACAAGATATGGCTCCTGACTTTCTGCTCATGTGCAAAGAAACAGTTTACAGTAGACATCAATTGAAGTTTGCTGAGTAAACAGAAGTAAAGTCTTTTATTTTATTGAGATACTTGAGAAATCCATGAGGTGCCGTCCCCTGACCCAATATAAACACCATCAAATGTTGAGATTGTGGATGAGTAATGAGAAATAAGCAACAGAATATGAATTAAGTCTAAAGATACTTTGTTTTTTCTTCTTGAAGATCAATTACATTGCAAAGTTTTTTTTAAAGAATAAGAGCATCCAGTGCTCTTAAAAATGAATTGTGTGGCAAGGTCGGGGAAGATTGTCTAACTTTAATGTTTGCAAAAACATCATTTTTTAATCATTTTATGTTTTTAAGCTTGTTCTAGAACTGTTCACATATTTGCGAAGTGTGAAGGCAACTTTAAGTATAGCTTTCCCTCGCTTACCGTATACAAAATAACATCGTTTTTAAGGAATGTTATCTGAATTATGCTATTGTATTTGAAGGATAATTTGTAATTACATGCACACATTCATTCAAATTATGATGTATTTTCTATAGGATTTACTGGTGGGAATAACATTAGGAATCACTAGATCAGCTTGGATATTTGGTACATAGATCAGGGGAACAGTGGATTGTGATGTTAAGGGAGATTGGAGCACTATTTGATTGACAAAAGCAAATATTGTTGCTCTTGGCAGCCATTTGCTGCATGAAAGGTTATTTATTTACAAGTTATGGTTTGGGAATCTTTTTGTGACTGGCATGAACTTTGATGAGAGACACACCTTCCTTCTGCATAGTATGGTTCATGGTAAAACTCTTCATTTTGGCCCACATACAGAAAATGATGTTCAATTTTGACAGGTTTTGTACTGTGCCTTATCAGCATTTTCCACACACTTTGCGTATTGTGGTTAACTGTTTGTTGGTGAAATTACAAAACCCTAATCTCTGTATTCATTTCAGTTGGGCTCAATTGTTCTGAGAGTCAGTCATTACTAGTAATGTATTTCAATTGTTCTGAGAGTCAGTCATTACTAGTAATGTATTTCAATTGTTCTGAGTCAGTCATTACTAGTAATGAATTTCAATTGTTCTGAGAGTCAGTCATTACTAGTAATGTATTTCAATTGTTCTGAGTCAGTCATTACTAGTAATGTATTTCAATTGTTCTGAGAGTCAGTCATTACTAGTAATGTATTTCAATTGTTCTGAGTCAGTCATTACTAGTAATGTATTTCAATTGTTCTGAGTCAGTCATTACTAGTAATGTATTTCAATTGTTCTGAGTCAGTCATTACTAGTAATGTATTTCAATTGTTCTGAGTCAGTCATTACTAGTAATGTATTTCAATTGTTCTGAGTCAGTCATTACTAGTAATGTATTTCAATTGTTCTGAGTCAGTCATTACTAGTAATGTATTTCAATTGTTCTGAGTCGGTCATTACTAGTAATGTATTTCAATTGTTCTGAGAGTCAGTCATTACTAGTAATGTATTTCAATTGTTCTGAGTCAGTCATTACTAGTAATGTATTTCAATTGTTCTGAGAGTCAGTCATTACTAGTAATGTATTTCAATTGTTCTGAGAGTCAGTCATTACTAGTAATGTATTTCAATTGTTCTGAGAGTCAGTCATTACTAGTAATGTATTTCAATTGTTCTGAGAGTCAGTCATCACTAGTAATGTATTTCAATTGTTCTGAGAGTCAGTCATTACTAGTAATGTATTTCAAAACTTAGTGCACTATGAAGCAAAACATTATTTGGACTGTATGACAGTAACACCAGGGAAGTAAATGTGTCGTAATGTTTTGCCATGCTTAATATTAGAACTCATGTAAAAAATTCAGGGTATTAGAAGCTGTTATAGTTATGTTGTTAATCCAAACTCATAGTATTGAAGACTAAGTAGATACATGTTAAAGCTTACATTATAGTTATCATTACAGATATATATATATATGCAGATATTTGAGTTGAATTCTTTGATGAAATGAAATGAAAATAAATGAACTATTAAATACTAGAAAACTTGTCGTCTTTGAATATATGTTTTAATGCATCAAAAAAAAATATGTACGATATATATTTCAAAAGGGTTTTGCCTCTCAGTGGTTGACACAAGTGAACTGTGTGTCTGAGGTTGCATTGCAGACTTTGTCAATGTTAGACTAGGCAGATGTTGGTAATTAATAGCTGCTGTTAATATACTCAGACAAATGCACTAATATATCAATATATCAAATTACTAAGTACGATACAATGATACAATGTCGCTCACAATCGGGATTTTTAAGTTAGAGACTCTGCACTGTTGAAATATGTAGTCAATATCAACATTAAAAGAAAAGAACTAATAATCCGTTCAACACGAGCGTGGTTACCTTTTGTGGACAATAATACAAAGGTAACCAGGTATTATTATACAAAATCGAATTTACACTAGCGCCCCCTGTGGTGAAAGTTACGATGCTTTCGTTTAAATTGTATTGTATGCAGTTTTGGGTTGATTCAGGATGGTCAGTGATTTAAAAAATATGCAACAGAAGATTTAGGGTTGTTTTTATTGAAATGAATTAATGACAAATTGCTTAATAACATTGTGTGTATATGTATATCATAATTCACAAACCAAAATGTTGAGATATATTTTTGCAAAGGAAAAAAACATGCAATTTTCACTATTTTGTAAACCAATATTCACATCAACTTCAATGTTTAGTGAATTAATGATCGACAGATTTAAGGTAGATGCCTACTCATGATTTCAAAAAACCAAGAATTTCTTAATTTTTTAATATATTGTACTTCCAGGCAATATAAGAATATTGACTTGGTGGTCACTAGGTTAATTTTCGAGAAAATCATGGTTGTATTTTAGTGGATAGCGGCCATTTTGGCAGTATTATAGTGCTTTTACCATAGGTTCTTATGGCAGAGATATTATGCAATATCTCAAAATCTAGCCTGGTGGTGTTAATGATGGAGTAGTTTTTGTTGTTCTGAATTGTTTAAAAAATCTGGGTTTTAAAAAGTTGTTCTAAAAATAGCAATTTTCAAGAAATATTAGGAAGCGTTTCTCAAAAAGCATAACTGTAACACACAAAATAATGCTATTTCATTGTACCATGAGACATTAGCTTCATGATTGTACATAATAAACTAATGAAAATTGTCATGCGATTTATGACCAATTTTGTCAAAAATTATGACTAACACCGATACTAGCACATGTATAAATGTATAATAAAACGAAACACTTTTGTTAAACCGCGGTGGTCGTCGCGCAGCGCGTGTTCGAATTTCATGTAAATAAACAATGTATTTTACACGCGTTGTATACGTCACTATGAGTCCCATATCGAACAGGACGTGGCGTGACTACTGCCGCCCTTTAAAGGAATGGTTACACAATTCGTCTGAACATTTATGACAGGAATGCCGCCCGGGCCGGAAGGTTTCACTAGATCAATAGATTTCAAAACTTTGAAAACGTCGTGCAGATTAAACTATTCCGAGAGAACGAATTTCTCCACCCCTCATTTTTCAGGTTTAATTTGCCATCACATCGCGTATGTGTTGACAATAGCCCCCGCAAAGTCATAATGATTAGATGTTTTTGTTTTTATATAGCACAGTGTGATTTTGGTTCACACACCATCCGCCACCCCCTCCCAGATGAACACATGCAAACAAGGCAATTCTTTGATTGATGTTCATTACGCTTGAGATAATGCCGCACGTGCATTTCTTATAAGCCTCTGTCTGTATGTAACTTGGCCAGCGTACATTGTATTGTTTAGGGCCTTCTTGGAACTCGACTATTCCACATATTTCCGAGTAAGGGAGGGACGGATTTCCAAGTAATACTACGCAGTGTTGTACTAATTTGGGCACAGATAGTCGACAACACTGCTGTCGTAAACACTTCTCGAGAAATCATTAATTCCCTCCTCACAAAAGACAGTACAACCCCTCTAAAAAATCTTCAAAACGCCCGATCAAATTCCTTGCTTCGCCTCCACAACGTGGCAACCCACCCAAACCCAACACTGTCGTTGGCATGAAACGAACTGTGTTGTTACCGTCAACGTATCTTTGATCACAGGCGCAGACCGGTTGCGGTGTCCTTGATATTTTCAGTGACCGAATACCTTATCCCTACTAACTGCACATTGTTTTTAACGTATTTTATCCCCAAAGTTTCATGCGAATTATACTTCGATTCGAGTTGACGAGATAGGCGGTAAATACAGTTTACCTGCAGTGACGATGTCGTACAGTATAATACAAATTAGTATAATACAGCCGTATCCACGCCGAATAATGTAAAATACTTTATTTTTGCTATTTTCGCTGAAGAGTTGATTCAGTGAAAATAAAATCCATCGAATATATATTTTTTCTATATATACACTCAACTAGTCAAAAATCGGTGAAAATGAACTCCATGCAAAACACCAAAAAATTATTTCTAGCTAAAATAAAGTATTTTACAGTAAGCAACAGGTGGCTGGTAATTACAACAATATTAATGAGTATGTGCGGACCATCGAGTCGTGCATTTTAGAAAATATAATTAGATAAACAAAATACCTGTGAGACAATTTTGTTGAAACATAATCTGCGGCAATATGGGAGGAGGAACTGGGGGTGCGAGTCAAAAAAACGTCATGATTGTGGCAATATACAAATGTTACCTGAAAGGACCACAACGGAACTACGAGTTTTATATCGTTGAGAGGATAATTATTTCATTAGGTGGTAAAACTGTCAATGTTGAATAGATGTTTGTTGAAGATTGATTGTGTTTTTGTTTTACTCTTCTACTCAGTGAACAGTTGTGTTTGACCTCCGACCAGTTTATCACCGCCCGTACGTACCATAGCAAAGTTGCACTCGTAAACAGCGTCCTTGTAGTTGCGGTGAACTCTGGTGCTCGGAAGTGGGTCAGTGTTCCTAAAAAGACGGCGGAACCAACTTTTTTTTTTTTTTAATTTTATCGGAGTTTGCACTGACATCTTGCATCATCTTAACAACATTTTACATAAATGGTTTGTACAAATTGCATATTCTGAAGCGGACTCCGCATATTTCCACATTTCTTACTATGACTATGACTATTACGATTGGTGGCCGATCTTGTATATTTCTTTATTAATTAATTAACAGAGGAACACATAATAGAACAAAACAATACTGTTTCCGTCACCTCGAGCGTAGCGCACAAACGAGATGAAAAGATCGCATGGGTCCCATATTGAACACGACGCAGCGTCGCTGTGCGACAAAAACCAGAATATCATTTTTATTTCATAATATATTGACGACCGTAAATTATGTAGGACTATATTACATAAGTCACAGACAACACAGTGTCTATGTATAAACACACGATAACTGGTACGTGTCTATGTTGGTCATTTTAAAGGGGGGTTCGTCACCTGCGCACGCGCAGGAATTTAGTCCCAAGCGACGATAACAATACATTGTACATGCTAAGGAACGACGTCAAAAGATCGATGTCGGATACAAAACTTAATTCCTTTAGTTTGGGGGTGGGGGTGGGGTTTGACCTCAAAATGTCCATCCTTCAAAAAGATTTTATTTTTTAATGAAGTCAAAAGAAATAACAGAAAATGAAAAACAAAACATCCAAGACGAGAAAATGGTAAAGTCTTTTTACATCCACCCGACAACCAACTGCTATGCCATACTACT